CCCCCCCCCCCCCCCCCCCCCCCACCATTTGCTAAGAGAAAGGTCTCCTGAAAAATTCGGTATAAAGAGAATTCGTCTCCTAGAAATATCTTATGAAAGTAGAGCTATACTCCATTTCCTCTAACTTTCGTTCGGACCCATCTAAGAGGGTAGCGTGAACAGTTTCCTACGTACGAGACAAAAAAAAACTAATTACTTTCGAGACCACTAAAGTTCCCCTAAGACATCCGAACAAATAAATAGTACTTAGGGCAGCTCCAAATTAACCAAACAGACTTTTAAAGCATAGAGAAGACCTTTTACATATCTGGATACATTCGGTCGTTGAGTGCCATCACGACCCTCCATAATCACGTACCGTTACCGAGATCAATTAAAAGACATTTGATCTTGACCTATAAAACCTGTTAACCTTTTAATCTGGATAAACACATATTACGTTTTGAGGATAAGTTGTATCGGCATACATAATCGACCGGGTGGCAAAGGGAAGTACCTATCCGCATCACGGTAACTTTTTTCAGACCATCACGCACGTCTCTGTGAGAGACTATAAGTATTCGCTAGCATGGTAATATCTCAACCCATTGAATGAGTCAGCTCTAATAAATGTTTTCAGCGTCTTTTTTGGTAGAATTGCGCCCTAACAGTTAATTGAATGACCTTAATTCTACAAAAGGGTTCTCTGAAATCTGGTGTTGTTCAAATATTAACTGTTTTATCCATTATTTACTGGTCTGAGAATAGATAGCATGTGCCAGGCTCTAGGTCGGTGTAGATGAGCGAAAAAAGCGCGCAAGCAGCGAAAAAGCGAGCGAGCGAAAAACGGCGGTTTTTCGCGCTATTTTTTCCCTCACTAGCTATCTTGGAGCAGGAAGAGGCTAGAGCATAGAGGTTATAATATGATTTTGACAGGAGACCAGGCGAGCTTGAGGAACTAGAAAAAGAACCAGAAAATGATGTCATGACTATCTGTTTTAAAATGGTTGTCTTTACACTAGGTTGCTAAGTAAGACTTAAGAGCCGCTAAGTTTTACTTAACTAAAACTGATTCGTGTGTGAAGGCCTAAGTAAGATCTCAAGTAACTTTGCTTTGCATCTCATTAAAACTGTTCATTAAAGTCGGAAAGTTGAAACGATTCAAGAAAGTTTCTGCAGGCGACTTGAAAACCATCCTTAAGAACGACTTAGCTGACTTGCGGTTTTGCGGTTTCTTGAGCTTTGAGAAAGGCGAGACATGTCAATCAATCTTAATTTTGTTCGGTGGGAAAATAACCTGAAGTAAAAAAGAATCGGTTGTGTGTAAAGCTTTATTAAATTTTACTTGAAGTAATTAAAATTTACTTGCCTTGAAATATGTCTTAGCTTATTTAGGCTCTAGTGTAAAGACTACCAAAATCTCCTTCTGGTTTCAAGTACGTAATATTCACCAATCACAGAAATCCATGCGTCACGCGTTATGGAAGCAGTAAATCACGTACCACTATGCCCAATCACGCCTCAAGCTTCTAATTTGGGCCCGATCACGAATCACTCCGATAATTTGGAACCCATCACGCGTCACGCAAAACCCCTTTGCCACGCTGAATCGACAATTAAATTGTCTTGCGTGGCTGATTTCGATTCAAGCCCGGATTTTCATGTGGATTTGAACAATTTGGTTCAACTTTATGGAGAAAATTTTAAGGATTCATCTTTTGTTGCTTCCGTCTACGCGTTAAACGGGATCTTATACAACAGATAATTGATTCCTTGTGTGAAATCGTGAGAGTCTTCGTGAACAAGCAATCAAAAGACTAGCAGACGATCCCATACAGACAAGGTAACAGACTGGAAAACGCAAACCTGGCCAGCTATTGCTGCTAATTTTGAAGATAAGAACTAACGTTAGATTTTATGATAAGTAGGAATTAGGACTACACTTTCGAGGCATGACTCGATTGGCAAACGTGGTTCATTTCACGACGTCGAAAACTTTAGGCTTGATTTGTACCGCAATTTTCTAATCGATCGAAATTAAGTCCGAATCTGGTAGAGTCCTAGTGATCGAGCTTATTTTCGACACGAAATTATCACTAAGTAAGATTTCGTTATTGTTTATACGTTGTTGGCTTTACATTTTATTTAGACATAAACCAACGTTAACACTACAGGAAAAATATCGGACGATTGACAAATTTTGACTGATTCTCGGTGCGTGACCATCACATCATTATCATAAGCTATCGTTTATTTAAAAACACAAGTGTGATGGATTGCCATGGCAAAATTAAAACCGAACTGGCAATTTAGTCTAAAACGGAAACTAAAAAGGTTAACTAACAAAGAATAAATTTTTCAGTCTTTTTCAGACATTTTTTGTTTTCAAGAATTGTTTAAACTTAACTTAGACTAGAAATACGCGTATCGCAGAACCTCGCGGAGCTCGGGGGAGGCCCATTGAGGGGTGGGAGGACAGGAGAGAAATGGAGTAAATTATGTAACTGGGATGGCAATATTGAAAGGTGACATGTACTTAATCTCCTGTGGATTAAATTTGAACCCATTGCTCTGGCTTCAAAAATTAAATGGGGTTGCTGTTGTTAGACTTGTTAAGGAAGCAGGTAGTGAGTGCTGCATAGGTCCTTTCCCATGTTCACCCCATTTTACCCTCCTACATGTGTAATTATGGTCAGAAGGAAATGGGGGTGATAGTGGATAACTGCTGGCTAATATGCAGTTGCATTTGCTTAATAAAAGCTAACCCTTAAGTGTAATAATTATTTGTGAAATGTGTCAGTAGTAGTGAGTGGGTGGCAATGGTAGGAGATAATGCTGCAGTGCAAACAACAACTAAATGCTGGAGATTAGCCTTAGAAAACAGCCGACATTTTCGCGACGCCACCACTGGTTTCTCCACCAAATGACGTCTGAGAAACGAGCGCAGAAATTCCATACTGATGACGCGGGTTGGTTGAAATAAATTTGCGATGCGCGCGACCCAATCAGAAGCATTACCCAGATCTGGGTAGTGACGCATCATCAGTATGGAATTTCAGCGCTCGTTTCACAGACGTCATTTGGTAAGGAAACCAGTGGTAGCGTCGCCAAATGTCGGCTATTTTCTCAGACTAACATTGTTATAATTCACAGATGAAAAAACCCCCGTCAGCTCTTCATGAATAAAACATGTCAGTGCTGTCTGCACTTGTCATGGATGGCAATCGGTTGCCTAGAAACCCATGATGCACTTTGACGCCACTACTCTGGATGACGTCAAGGCGGACACCAACCAAACTCGATAAGAGAAAATCACGCTGGCCTTGTGACGCTCGTGGGAAACACTCCCGCTTCTCGCGAGAAGAGATTATAAACCTCGCGGCAAGGGGCTTCGCGAGGAATTATAGAGAACAAAATACAACTAAAAGCAAACTGAATAAATTTAAACAGCAATAAATGTCAGCATAGCCAAGCGTTAGCGAAAAACCCCAATCCCTTCCAGGAAGAGATGACATTGCTACTCGCCAATTCGTCATTTGCACAACTCCCATAATACACCTTGTTTGCTTCTAAACTTTTACGCAAGTATTGTCTTCAATTTCTCCTGGAACAACTCCAATACCTAAGAGCAAAGGTTATGCAAAATTTTGGGGGATAAATAAGGTGTATTATGGGAGATGTGCAAGTGGCGAATATTTAACGTTTTCTGTTGGAGGGAGTGTTGCTTTAGGCGAGCTTGTTTGCTGAGATGTAAATTGATAATTCAGTCCATATCGCAACAAATATCTGGTTTAAAACGGTACACTGATGATTGCAAAGAACACCTTAATGGATTTATTGATATTCCTTTGCTGTTTTAAAGGCTAACGATTGAACTGATGCACTGATGATGGCAGAATCAGGAGTTGAACTGCGACTGACTGAAATTGAAGGTATGTGAGAGAAATAATTCACTCCCGCACCAAGTGTCAACCTGAGTATTCTAACATGACTCCAAGGTTTTGTCATCATTTTTCTAAATTTGATTTGGTTTTCTTTGTGCTCAACGAAGTCTCTTCTGGGAATTTCAAGACAATGGAATCGTGGGAAATTATATTGGCAATTTTGTCCTTAAAGCCTCGGAGTCATGTTAGAATTAAAATATATCGAACGGTGGCCGTTACAGAGGATGTTTTGTAAATTTAAATGAACTTGCCAGAAAGCGAAGGTTGAGAATTACATAAACCAAAAAAATTATTTTATAGGCTCGCGCGTGTTTACATGACGTGATGAAAGGTCGGTCCTGGGTGTCCCAAACCAGGGGCCCGTTTCTCGAAAGACCCGGAAACTTTTCGGGCCAGAAGGCAAACAAGTTTTAAAATGAAAACCAAGGCCCGTAAGCGCAAATTCAGGATTAAAATTTTGTTCAGGTTTTGTATTTTAACTTCCTATGTATTGCTCGGAGTAATATTTTGTGTTATCATCAGCGTATCTGGGAGTGAAGGCTCAACATTATTTTGCAATATTTTAAATATTAATTTTAAACCTTGCTTAAAATTTGGCTTAATCCCGGGTTAAACCTAACCACCTTTGAATAGTAGCACAGTCCCTAGCCCAAAAACCAGTCAAATTTGCTTCGTTAACTGATAGTTTCATTGTAATATTTTCAAAATAATTGAAACTTTGATCCTGAATGCAAACACAACAAAGACAAAACAGCTTTTCGGGCTGGCCGAAAAGTCACCGGGACCTTCGAGAAACAGTTCCCACTCCTGTGGGAGTTAGACTATTTTCTTGTGTAAAGGCTTTTTTTTGTTCCAAAGAATTTGCATAGATGCTGGCCACTTGAGTGAAAACGCTCGAAGGATAAGAGATTGGTTGTAGCCAACTCGGCGCTTTACGCCTTGTTGGTAATTTGCCCACCTCGTATCCAACGCGGGCTTATGGTCATCCTCGGAGACCGAGGGGCAGATACTGGGGGCGAGAGAAAGTCTAAACGGGCGGGAAAATATGGCACGAATAAAAGTAAAGAACGGCGAGAAGAGCCCCAGGGGACAATGTCTTACCAGACCAGTTCCAAACTGTCACCGCCGTTCTGCCTTCTGATTGGGCAGAAAAACACAAAAGTTTTCTGGCACCAATCAGAAGCCAGAACGACCGCGATAGTTTGGAACTGGTCTAGCAAGACATTGTCCCCAGGGGCTCTTCTCGCCGTTCTTTACTTTTCTTCGTGCCATATTTTCCCGCCCGTTTAGACTTTCTCTCGCCCGCAGTATCTGCCCCTGGGTCTCCGAGGATGGCTTATGGTAGGAACGTTATTCGGTTGATAATGATATTGATCATTGTCTTTTTACCCGAATTTAACTCAGATTTTGAGGAATCTTTAAGGGACGCATTAAAACAAGAGGACTTTACAAAAATCAAAGAAAAGATAACAGCCAAAGCACTGACACAATGTAAGAAGAACTGTTTGTTTATGTCAATGGAGGTGAGTTTATCGATATAGAGTGTTTTCACATGACGTAACGGCGGCCATATTGGTGTCCCAAGACAATGAGACCCCTTTTATGCTCTCTCTGACTTGTNCTTTTCTTCGTGCCATATTTTCCCGCCCGTTTAGACTTTCTCTCGCCCCCACTATCTGCCCCTGGGTCTCCGAGGATGGCTTATGGTAGGAACGTTATTCGGTTGATAATGATATTGATCATTGTCTTTTTACCCGAATTTAACTCAGATTTTGAGAAATCTTTAAGAGATGCATTAAAACAAGAGGACTTTACAAAAATCAACAAAAAGATAACAGCCAAAGCACTGACACAATGTAAGAAGAACTGTTTGTTTATGTCAATGGAGGTGAGTTTATCGATATAGAGTGTTTTCACATGACGTAACGGCGGCCATATTGGTGTCCCAAGACAATGAGACCCCTTTTATGCTCTCTCTGACTTGTGAACAAGTCTATCTTAGTAGTAACCTCTTCGTCACGTTTTTGTTTTTGTTTTGCTGTTCTTGTTGTTTCTTTCGTCTCTCACCAAGATAGAGATAACGCAAGACGCTCAGAGATTAAAAACAAACTGATTTAAAGCGCTGAAGTAACATATAAACTTTTTCAGCAAAGAAATCATCACTTTAAGAAGTGTTTTTCATCGCGAGACAAACCGTTCAAAAAATCTTGAATTTCGTTGAACAAACGTGTGCCAAAATGGCGTACAATTTCCAAACTACCTTCAAGGTACTGTTTTTCAAAGGGAATTATTAGTAACGAGTCTGAGAACGTTTATGCAGTCGACCGCTTTAATTTGAATTAAAATGAACCCTTGACGAAACACTGTATGCACTCTACGTTAAAAGACCCATATTATAGAGCTGCAAGAAAGTATACTTGCTTGTTTGTTTGCTTAGTTTGTTTGTTTACACCGGCTACCTGCTTTTTTTTCCAAGGTGAGCTATGAACTTCGTCGTTTAGAAAGTAGAAATCTACCAAATGTAGATGATGTAGCCAATATGGCGTCTTCAGTTGAAGAGTTCACCAACCGTCTGATCGATCCTCTGAAGTCTGATATCAACCTCGGGCTCCGTGGGCGTTTCGAAAGGTGTTTTGATGATGTGATGGAGAATGCTATAGCATTTGAGCAAAAAAAGGTGCGCACTAAAGCAAGGTTTTTTAAACTGTATTCCACTAAATACCTCACCGCGAGGTGGTGTAGAATTTGATGAGTTAGCGAATCTTTTGTTCTGGGAAGCCTGATCATCTCTTTCGATCTGTTGTGCTATCTATTCACACAAAACTCCTCCATTGTCTTTTTTCAAGGTTTTTTTAAGGTTGACCTTTTGATTCCCGGCTCTTCGTTGGAGCGAATCCATCATAATCAGACATGTAGGAGTAATTTAAGGCAAAAAGTTGCGGGTTTTTGCTCTGATAGTGGCTCTGACCAAGTGCTAGGGTGCGAACCACCAGCTTTTGAATATGATTATGGTAAATTGGCATCAACTCTGCTCAGATTAATCGTAATTGGCTCTTCGCCTTTGGGGAACGTGATGATAATGATAATGATGATAAGTATTATTGCCCCCGCAGGGATTTCGCCCAGAAGGCAAAATCCTGAGGAGGCACTCTGACTAGTAGTTCGCGCGTATATTAAAGGAAAGTACTTACAGTTGAAATATACAGTCAGACTATGCCAGAAAAACTCTCGATTTGCTTGAACAGGGGCCGCATGGCATCGTTGGGTTATGATGACGTTTCTATTCTTCGCGCCCGCAAGTAAGAGATGGTTAGGGTGACGTAAAACAGAAAATATCGAAGAGACCGCTTAGGTAGATTTTGTGACATTTATTCTACAGTCATACTTCGATATTCTTTTCCGTTACGTGTTATCGGTGACATTCTGTGGAGCAGCTGTTTTGAAAGAACAAAAGACACTGGTTAAGTGCGGTTCGTATAACTGTGTATATATCTGAAAACTTGGAGAGTTTGCCAGACACAAGTTCACAAATCTTTGATTGGAAACGCGTGAGCGTGAATTGATCAAACCTTTGAATTTCTAAGGCTTACTTTCCGGCAAATAAAATGAACTGTATGTAAAAAGTAAAAGAGAAATAGCGAAAAATTCCAACTTCTAATTAAATCTTTTCTTATGGCTTACAGTAAACTATTCTCTTTGATCAAAGCTGTGTAAATTGAACTGAATCAATGCATGGGACGTTTCCTGTTTTTCTCTCACCTATTGTATGGAATATGTGTGAAAATCTTCATTATGAATCGGTATATTTCAAAGAGCTACACAACGACTAAGAATACTATTGACCGACAATATACAGAGCGGGGGCAGCTGTAGTGTCAAGTGCCGTGCAAGGACTAGACATTAAAAGTTGTTTTTGACCACTTTTTGCAGTTTTTTACCCATCCAGTCATTAATAATATGAAAAACAACAGATGGTATGGTGATATTGGTAAAATCTGGACCCGTTCTTATTTCACTGTTGCCCGATGGATATGGATATTTCTTGACGTCTGGTGCTTGTTTGACTTGGTGTTATTTCCAGTTGTTTTCACTGTGCTATTTATTGCTCATATTGCGAGAGGAAGAAGCTCACATCCCCCGGGTGAGTTTTCTATTCATTTTTCCCTGTTAGTCTTAAGGCTCTTCATAGATCACATAAAATAATAAAGCATGATTTTCATGTCTTGCAAACTTGGTTACCGAGAATTACCAGTGGCAGATCTAGGGGAGGGGGCCCGGGGGCCTGCCCCCCCCCCTTATTTTTAGACCAAACTGAGGACTGACGGGCCGAAAAAAATATTTTTGGAGACCCCCCCCCGCCCCCCCCTCCCCCCCACACCGAAATTCTTGTGTACTCCGTTTATTGGCCATGGCGTCATCACTTCGCCAAGGTCATTCAGGGGGAACCAAGGGCTGGGTAACGAGTTCAAGCCTTAGTTGTTCAAAGGTGAATAAGCTAGATGCACTATCCACCTCTATCCAGTGGATAATGCAATTGGTTTCCGGTTCCCTAAAACGTTAGTGACAGTTTATCAGGCCCCCAGTTGTTTAAAAGCTAGATTGCGCTATCCACCGGATAAATCACTATCCATTGGATAAATATTAGGGAAACCAATTGCGCTATCCAGTGGATAGAGATTTACCCGGTGGATAGAGCTATCCAACTTTTGAAAACTGGGACCAGTTCCTGGTTGTTCAAACGTTGGATAGCGCTATGCACCGGATAAAAATCTATCCAGTGCATAACGCAATCGGTTTCGCTAATACTTCTCCGCTGGATAGTGATTTATCCGGTGGATAGCACTATCCAACGTTTGAACAACCGGGGCCAGGTGGATAGTGCTATCCAACGTTTGAACAATTGGAGCCATAAGGATACATGTATGATGCGAAAAGGAGTCAAAAGGTCTTACCCTATTTTTTTTGTTTGTTTGTTTTTTTACTTTGAATGTTTTAGAACCAAGGCAAAAGGATTTGTATGGTAAGATGCATTTCTCAATATATGTAAGTTCTAGCCGACTATATAGTTTTGCCGATTGTTTAGTTGTGATTGAGGGAAGAAAATTAAAGCCCACTTGAGATGTAAATGAAGAGCCTTTCGCTTTTGAATACATTGGAACCTCTATTCAGGAGACACCTTCCGGACCAAGAAAAGTAGCCCCTGAATTTAAGTTGGGCTGGGATTTGTTGATAATTAACCAACAAAGAAAATGTTTTTATTAGAGCGCAAAAAGGCGTCTGCTCCCGCAGGCCAGGGAATCTCCAGCAGTCGTTATTTCAAGCAGCTAGATAATGTATAAGTTTTTGAATTCCCACAACTGCAGTTCATTGATTTAAGTGAGTTAATTTATGTTTTGAAAGCTGTCGCCATTGTGACTAATGAACACTTAAACTTATCAACGGCTTTTGTGGCTAGTCACTTTTTGATTGCTAAGGTGTCCCCTGAACAGAGGTTAAAGCCGGGTTTCAGGACCCAGAAAAAGTGTCCCTTTCCCTCGAATGGAGGTGTCCCTTCAGTAGAGGTAACAAATATAAAGATTATGTGAACATTTTTGCAGGACCAAATTTTGTGTCCCCTGAACGGGGGTACGTGTCCATTGAATAGCGGTCTCCCAAAGGAGAGGTTCCACTGTATGTGGTGTGGAATGCCAGCAATATTTTTGTAACATTGTTATGAACAGTTTCTCCACATTTACCTCATGTTAAGTTTTACCGAAGAAACAAGAAATTAATACATTACAGAGAGACACCTTAATATTAATATTTACTTTTTTCAGAGAATTATCGCGATTACTTTACAACACCCTACTTCATCTTCGTCCGTGACACTTTGAGCTATCTGGCGTTACTAGGACTCCATTTCGCTGTCTGTTTGAGCCCAAGCAGTATCGAGATGACTGGCCTAGAGTGGGCCATCATGGTCTTTTTTATGGGTCGAACCTTACTGGAGATTCAACATTTACGTGCCATATACATGGACACGAAACGGTACAATCAACGCGAGTTGAAGATGAATCAAAGACTTAAAGAAAGTTTTAAGGTTTACACCAGGTAAGTAAATTCAAACGGCGCTTGAAAAGAAAGACTGTTTTAATCTGTGTAGTTTTGTTGTATGGTCGAGAGTTATCTTCAAGTCCTCACTAGCAGAGTTTTCATTTTCTTTTGCAATTTGCAAAAGAGACTGTCAGTCTGAATCAGATATTGTTTGCATGATCTAAACATTTGCCGTTCATGATAGTAGACGAAACAAATCAGTTTTCGTTCTACTACCCATGAGGGCACAAAAAAAAAACAAATCGATGGCGCCAGAAGCAAATCACACACAACAAGTAAAGTTACAGCTAAACGGGCAACAAAAACGTTTAACCTGCTTTGCAGCATTGCTGCAGAACGTGTTGAAAAGCGATGATATGTTGCGCGTTTTTCCACCCACGTTCAAAATTAAATATGTTTTGCAACAAATCAAATGTTGCTGCGAGTTGCGTGAAAACTGACTTCTGATTGGATAAAATAACACGGGAGTCATGCCATACACGGGATTTACGTCACTTGCTGGAAAACAAGTTAGCCTTGGTCCGGAAAAAATTTTTGCAAGACAGGTTTAAACGTTGGTGGTAAAACGCACAACATCTCTTCCAGTCTAAACGACACTTTCACTAGTTAAAAAAGGAATATCGTTTGTCCTTGTTGCTCAAGATATATTTTCTTTGTCGCTTGTAAAAAACTTAAGCTCACTTATGAAATCACACTTTTCAAACGCAAACTACTCACATTAAAACTAATTCCTCACAGCAAAAACAAATTACTTACATAAAAACAAATAACTCTCAATTAAAAAACCATGAAAAGTAAATCACTCACAACAGATTGAAACCGATCACCGTGAGCAAAACCAAATCTATCATAGCAAACTAAATTGACCCACCACTGACACGCTTCATATCCTCATTTTGTATCGATGGACGCTCAAGTTAAAACCAGGATTAAACTGCATACATGGATAGCTTTTCACCAATGCAATATTTTTTACCAGTTTTTTAACAGATCAAACCAAGTTTATACTGATAGACCACCGAAGCATACCAGTTTTCCTTTACCTGTGTGACGCGCCAGGAAGGTTGAAAATCCAGAAGTTTAAATTAATGATTAGAAGTCTTTTCCTTCATATGCAACTCCAACCTCAAAGCTCTGGGTGGCCACGGTATGCGAGAAAGTTATGCGAAAAGGTCAGTTGGGTAGGCGGGGACTTCGTGTTGCTAGTTCACACTCTGCAATTCTAATTTTTTACGGCCGGCTGGTCCCGTTTTTTGAAAAACAGTCCGTAGTTCCCGTATCCAAAATCTGGGATTCCTTTTTCAAGGGAAGAAGATGCAAAAATTTTTGTCAAAGTCGATAAGGAAATAAATCTTGAGAGATAAAACGACATTTCCTTTTTAAATAGTGAAAGTGCCCCTTATTTTTAACTCGTGGTCGTAACAAAGTGGTGGTAGTGCCATCTCTTCTTGGCTCCGCTAAACAAGCCAAAAATACGAGGAAAGGAGCAGGTATTGTTACCATAGTATTTCTTAATCAGGTGATAATGTCAAAACTCGACGCAAATTGAATTGATGGAGCCGGTGCTAGTGCTAAAAGATATATGCAAATAGGTCAAAATCCAAGGCTGTAGTATTTATTTAATCCAAACTTGATTCAGCAAAGGAAAGTGACCGTTTAACCTGTGTACAGAAGAAAAAAGCAAAGACGAGGTTGTTACTTCGACACTGTAAATCAGGACAATTAACGTCTTGTTATGTTCTGGGTAACCTATCTTGTGTTGTCTTATGATGTTGCTTCAGAGATATCTATGTTGCATGATTTTAAGACAAGTTGGGACTTGAAGCAAAATTAAAACGAGCATATTCGGTCTATTCACGGATAGCAAGTAATCATTAAGTAGCCAGCAACCCAACCTCGTTCCCAGACTTCCCTCCTACTAGGCCCCGAAAATAGCAAGCAACGCTATCTTTTCAGTTGATGCACTATAACATCAGAGGAACTTACTAATTTACTTTTCTTTCAATCCTCATAACAGGAGTAGCTGGAACTGTTTGGACCTCGTCACTCTTATCGTGTACAGCTGTGCATTTTTCCTTAAGACTGCCGTGTGGTCGTCATCTACTACGACAGTGGTGAACAATCGACCTCTCATCGTTAGTGGTTACCTTTACGGCCTCAATACAATGATTCTTACCTTCAGAGTATTTGGACAGGTGATGGAGACAGTCAAAGGACTCGGAACTATTCAAATAGCTTTATTCAGCATCATCAGTGACGTTGCCACAATATTTTGGCAGTTTGCAGCAGCAATATTGGCATTTTCATTCGCCATAACTAAAGTTTACATGACGGAAATCTCTTTTATTCCGACGAGATTTAATGGCACAGACCCGTGAGTATGTTTTAATTTGAAACCTTAAACATTAATCTCCATCGTCTGACCGTAAAGAAATAGTATTGATCATTAAAAATCTTCTTTATCCCATCTTTATTTTCTCAGGGTCAGCAAAACTTCTGGACAATCTTGGTAAGTTGTTTTCCTTTCCTATCAAATAAATTGTGTATTCTAAAGTAGTCATTTCGTTCGCTTTTTGTGAGATAAATCTTCGGACAAAACAGTCATCGGCTACGAAGAGTGAACAGGAAATATTAAATTTAAGAATGTGACAAAGTAACGAATTATTTGAAGAATGTTTATATAACGTTTGAGCAAAAACTATGCAAAGACGCGAAGTTAATATAATTAAACTAAACCGCTTTGGACAGGGGAATTAGAAAACCTGTTCAGACTGATCGAGTTTCAAGCCAAAATAAGATTTCTTTAAAAAAGTAGGTCTGGCGAAAATTCAAATCTTTTTTGTTCCTTACACATTTCAGTTGGTGGTTGATAGCAAAACACCTTTGTTGGTCCTTACTTGGAATGGCGGAAGTAGATTCATTGAACTCAGTTGACGAGGCAACAGTAACATTATGTAAAGTCTTATATGCTATATATCTGGTCGTGGCTGGTGTTCTACTTATGAACATGATGATTGCCCTGTTATCAAACACTTACCAAAGAGTGGAGGTAAGTATAAACCATTATAAACGGTCAGTAGACCCAATCAAAATTCACGAACAAATCCAGAATTTCGTTTTGGAAAATGCTGAAAAACATACAGGACCATGTAACAGTGTAACAGTGTTGCTGAAGAGGTTTAATTTGAATGGCAACACCATAGGATCTCATCAACACACTCAGAAGTTAGAGCTACAAACTAATTAAATAGTTTCATGTGAAATGTTTACTGCTGAATGGTCACACCATAGGAATTGGTCACAGGGTTGAAAGTTAAAACCGCCTTTCAGCGTAATAAGCTTCTATTTGAGTGGTTACCTCGAAGGGCTTTGGCCAGAGACGTAAAAGTTAGAATTATAGTCCGTGTCTCCATTATTTAACCCTTCAAGTCCCAAGAGGGACAAACAACAATTTTCGTATCAATTTAGGTTTCTGAGAAACTGCCCACCTACCCCTCCCCTAACCCATCATTTTTCCCAAAGTGAAAATTAAGTGTTAATGTTAGCTTAGGGGAAGGGTAGGTGGGCAGTTTCCCAGAAACCTAAATTGATCCCAATTTTCTCCTTACAATAATGATACATTAATAAGAGAAAAGGTTATGAGAATGAATGAAATGATCACTAAAGAGAAAACGCTTTGATCATGTTTTGATTCTTTCAACCAGTTCTTTAAGGAAATGCATGGAGATCAGTCTGGATAATTTACATGCTGATATTGGGGATTTAAGGGTTTATACTACTACATGGGAAATTTCTGCAATCTGATTGGCTTAGAGCAGTGGTATTTCAGCTTAATTTGAAATACCTACATGTGAAAATTACAAACCTTTTGCGGGTAGTAGTATAAACAAATAATAGCATGATTTGTACGTGATATTTAGCATACATACCACTCGTGATATTTCAAAATTGTCTCAAATTTCACTCGCCTAACGGCTCGTGAAATTACGTATAACAATTTTGAAATATCACTCGTGGTATTTATGCCAAATATCACTACAAATCATGCTATTACCTATACTAATACTATAAGGAGGTGAAGTTTTAAGGAAACTGAGGTGTTGCCTCTGTCAGGAGCCGATCCTGCCTCTGTACGTGGGGTAGTAAAACATCAAACGAGTTATCAAAGCGTTTATGAAACAACGTTTTTCAGTTCTCAAAATTGAGTAACCTCTTGCGGCAATTCTAATTCTGCCTATTAAATATAAAACTGTTTTTGTTACATTCCAGGAAAACTCTCTAAAAGAATGGTCTTTCAAGAAAGCCATTACAGATCAAACATACATGTATTTGCACCCAGTTCCTGTACCGCTCAACATTATAAGCTGTATTGTTATGGGCGTGGTCTGCCTGTGCAAAAAACGTATTGGAAGGTGCCCGTGCGCGCCCGAATGCCGCGGTTTCTTAACTCCTGCAGACGATCAGCCAAGAGTAAGTGTAATTTCAAACCCGTTTCAAACCCTTCGCGTTTTCCTTTTCTCTTCATTTTCAATCTCTGAAGTCGTTTAAACTGAAAGAATTACAACTAAGAATTTTCACGTTTGGTGTTTCAAATCTCTGAATATTTTGAATCATACTGTATGTCATCGTCTACAGTCCATTAGGTGTGGTAGATTATTGGTGATACAAGCAGTATATGTGCAGGGCTTTTGAAACACCATGACTACCATAGTTCAGTGGCTACAGCGCGGAGATCATTTGTTCGATAACGACTCCGATTTTTACTATTCTCGCACGGCGTTGCAGCATTTTCATTGCAGACTCCTGTTAAGAAGTAACTGGAGGGTTAGGCCTTCCTAAGAGGCTGAGGGAGAGGAGATTAAGATCAATTCTTGCTAAGGGGCTAAGGGAGAGGAGATTTTTCGCTTCTCTCTTCCCCCTTTCCCCCAGAAACGCCTAATACTCAGGCTAGTTAGGACGTTGTTAAGATCTTCGGTCTCCATAG